AAACCATCTTTACCAAACTATAAGAGCGTTCATCGACACACTGAGCCATCACTCTACACGTGAAGCATCCTGGAGAAGCACAAGCTTCTCCCCCACTTGTTTCATTCCCACTTCCGCAGACAAAGGTTAGAAAATAAACGTGTACCGACAGTGTTTTCACATAGATGTCGCATACTAAGGAACAAATAATATTAGATAACTTGGTCGGATGGACCAACCTGCTCTGATACCACTAATGTAACACCCTTTTTTACCCCACAAATATAATGACAAATCGAACATGTTTATCAGAGTAAAATATTGAACGCAATAAAATCATCTCAAAAGGGCGCATATTTCTCAATAATTCAAATATAGTCAATGCTCCATAAACAACGGGTTTTCCCAAAATTACTCAAAAGGCAGCGAAACTCAAAAGGTAATAATCTAAAGTTTTCCTTGCGCCGCAAGACAATCAACATAACAAAACTCAATAAAATGTAGTTTGACTCAAAGACCCCCAACCCGATGTTACAATATCAGAGCAAGACCCTCTAAGTTAACCACAATGGCCAACGATCCAAAAACTTCAAAATGTCCTCGACGACATCCACAGCTAAACCTGGTCATCTGCACGTTACCCACGTGGAGGCAACATTCAAACAGGCAGGGTGAGTAAAACGATTCATAATAATCAATATAAGAATCAATATAAGAATCAATATATAAAATGGCGCCATTTTCATATTCAACATCATCATAATCATCGAGGAACATCAAAGGCCACAACATTATAAATTACACCAAATTGTCACATAAATGCAAATGCAACAAGACTTATGCATGTGGTACTAATTAACAAAATTTGATGGACACTGGGCAATCAACCCTTCATAGATTCACAATAGTAGGATCGATTCTACACGAGAATCGAAGCATAACAAAATACCTCACATCCGCACAATGGGAATGAAGCCACAAAAATCAAGGTCCTGAACCGAAGTCCGGATGCATATGAATCCATGATGCACACGTCATATCATCATCATAATAAACTCATTAGGTGCATCATCATTCATCAAAATCATCATAATAATCATGTCATCATATAATCATCAAAAACTCATGGAATCAACATCATAAATCATCACAATTACTCATAGAAATCATCATACAATCATGTATTAATCACATAGGAATCACAATCATACTCATGGTAATTCATCAAAGAAATCACAACATCAAAACATCACAACATCACTGCACAAGATCAGAATTTGTGAAACTCTGCTATGTTCGCTAGCAAGTTCGCTGTGCGAATCTGGAGCGAATGTTCACCGTGCAAACTCGTGATTACAGCAAATCGCTGTTACGCACCAGCACCACAACCCGTCCAAAAACCTCTACGATTTCCTTTCCCAATGCCCCAAAAACGTCCCTAAATCACTCCTAAGGTATTACGACGATATATGCACAAAATCTACGACTTATTAGGCTAATCTCGTATCATATTTACGCCTCCAATTCCCATAATTTCTTACAACTACCCCACAATCATTAGAGTTCTCACGACCCAATTACCCTATACGGTTCAAACCTCACCAATAGATTTTGGCCACGAAGGCCTAATTTCCCTTATCTCAAATCAGCCTCAAACCTATCAGACCCTCAGTTCAAATCCCTCAAATTCACCATCAGAAAGGCAACAACAATTCAATCAAAAATCCCTAAACCCTTAAATCAGCTTTAAACACATTGAATCACATATTGAAAACAATGAAGGCAAGACTCTCCATACCTTAATTGCCGACTTTAAGCCTTTCTCCTTGATTCTTGGAAACCTTGCAAAGCTTTTGCCTCAATCCTCTGGCCTCTATTTCTTCTCTTTTCACGGTCTAACAAGAATGAATCTTAATTCCCTCAAAATTCCTTTTTGTTAAACCTAACTTTGGGCCTTAAAATTGAGCTTTCCAACTTCACCCTCACTAACTCCTCCTCAAATGTCCATTTTGCCCTTAATTCACTTATATTTATTTAAATTAATAATAATACCAATATATTCATATTATATACTATTATTAAAATAAATAATCCAAAATCCATAATTCTCAATATTTCATACCAACCACTAGAAATCACAAAAAATACGAATATTCATATTTAAATAAATTAAATAAATATTCCAATAAATTTGGGGTGTTACAAATACCATGTCAAATGGCTTGGAAAATAGTACTTCTTGATAATGGAATTAATCAATTCATGGTGGAATTCGTGAGCCATAGTGGTTGATCCAAGAGCGAAGGGTAACTTGCGTAGCAAAATAAGGATCATGAATACGTCGATTAAGTGAGGGTCATCATTATAACGTGTGTTTCCTTTGGCTATGTAGGCATACCTTTACTTGAAGATAACATTCATACTATGATGAATGCAATGTACATGAGTAGTTAGTGATACAAATGCACCTCATGATTTTTTAATAACGAGTTAGTGAAGGGAGATGATATTTTGGAAATTCAATTGGAGGATATGAAATTTATCTCGGTAACTTTACTAGAGGATATGCGATTTATCCCTCGAGATTCCATTGTAGGATATGTGATTTATTTGGGGAATCGGTCCAGTGGATATGTGATTTATCTCAGTGATTGAGTTATAAAGTATGAGATTTACTCTAGAAATCTGACTTTGTGAGTATGTGATTTGCTCGATGGATGAAGTTAGAGAATATGTTATTTATTATGGTATTTCTAGGTTGGTATATGAGACTTATCCAATGATATTTTGCATTAACTTGTACTTCGTACTAATTAGTTAAATCTCAAAGTGATTCGAGGTTTTATTTAGGAATCCATTGAAATTTATATATCTCACCCCACATGTTATTCTTTTTCAAATAAGCAGGTAACACACAAAGGCAAAGAGAAAGTTGTTTAAAGTGGATGTCCAATAGTTGTTATGTTATATATTTTATATTTTATAATGTATTATTACTCAGTTGTAAACTCATACTACTAATGTATCTCATACATTGTTATGTAGATACAAGTTATGTATCAGGTATGCTAGTTTCATGTATTCAGTACCAAGTGTTAATTTTCAAATTTAAAATTCTATACATTTAAATCCTTGGGGTATTATAATTATGGCCAACTAAGATTGCACACTTATTGTCGTTATTTGGCTACACTTACGTGAACCAATGTGAAAATACGACCTTTCATTCGTATACACAACGACACTTACCTCACATTTATCTTTCACGTTATACAACTCATTTATATACCATTTCACGCAACTTCTTTCTCTAACAATACTTCCTAAATTTTGTTTGTATTTGTTATCTTTTGACTTTAAGATAGAAAGAGAACAATTAATACCCATTATAACACATTTAACTATCTTGAAACTTTCGGAAATTGAAAAATAAAAGTCGATTATACCAATTCTATCTATTCTCATTTCAATAGACGTATATTTGACTATCCATAATTTAAGTTATCTTGACGTCATTCATATGTTATTTTTAGCTATAATTTAAGTTATCCTAACGTCATTCGCTAATTATTTTCCACTAACATCTTTTATATATATATATATATATATATATATATATATATATATATATATATATATAAACAACATTTTAATTAATTTAGTAATAACATTATAAAGTTAATTTACCCACATTTTATTTTAGTAATAACATTTCATAGTTAATTTACCCTATTAAACTCTTGCTTCCTTGTTAAGCTTGTGGTAACCTAATATAAATCCACAACACCTAAGTAAACCTATAATTCATATCCACAATCACAAAACATAGATTTATTATTGATTGAGGGATTGCATCAAGCTTGACACACCTCATAAGCACCACATTATTCCCCAAGTAACAAGAATTATCAAGGACACTAATTGGTAATTAACCAAATTAATCACCCTCATAAATATTTACACTATCACCACCACCCTTTTGTATTGTATCTATCAAGTTTTCTTCCGTGTTCAATCATCGTCTCTCTCTGGTTTTCTTCAATTTCTTATTCTCTTTTTTTATTTATTTATCATTGATTATCGATTTTCCTTTTGAATATATACACACATCAATTCAATCGCTTATTATTTTTGTATATCGCAGAAAAACAATTTGGCGATGATGATGATGATGATAAACTGAAACGAAGAAGAAAAGCGTTTTCTTAAATTCATCATACAATCGTTTACTTGTTGATACATAGAACTGGTCTTCGACTTTCTCGAAGACCGATTAAGAACTATAACTAGGTATTTCATCTGTTTTGTTTGAAGTTTTATAGTTCCCTTGATTGTGTTTTTATGTTCTGTTTTTCACTGATCCTGTTCCTTTTATTTTATGTCATTGCGTGTTTCTGTTTCTGTTTATTATGTTTTTGTTATTGTGATTGTTTTGTTCCTTTTTGTTTTTCTAGTTTTTGATGTTTTTAACCGTGTATTGTGATGCACTAATATTGTTAAAGTCAATGGTGGAACCTGTTGTGTTTGATTTGTTTAGTTTGAGACTTAGGTTTAGTCTGATTTAGTCTTTGGATTTCTATGAAGCATGGAGACCCCAAACACGACCCCGACACTGACATGGTGACACCCGTATATATATTTTAAAAAATGAATAAATTAAACTTAATCACATGTGTCTGTGCAGGTGTCCTGTCTGATACAAACACACATTTTTTCAGAACTATCGGTGCTACATAGTTGGATTCTAATGTGGTTTGTAATGTTATTATGATGTTATGAGAATGCATCATCAACACACTTGGTAGAGTAGTATTGTTTTTTTTCATGGGGAGTTATGGATTTTAATGACTGATTAACTTGAAAATCTTGAAAAATTGTTACTACTTCTGTTTTTATTTGAGGAAAGCTTTGATTGATTGAAGTGTTTGTTTGATTTGGAATTATATAATATTAATGTATGTCAAGTGACAGATTTTTAACTGTGCAGGGTTCGATTTCCAATTGGGGAGTAGAAGAAATTAATGGGAAGTAGAGGTCAAAAGCGTCCAGAAATGGTAGATGAACTGCCTGCTGATAAGAGGGCGTGCAGTTCGTTTGATTTTAGACCTAGTTCTTCAACTGCCTCGGTTCAAACCGATATAAATTCAACACACTCGGAGGTGGAGCCCCATGATAATGATATGGATACTTCCTCGTCTGCTTCGGCTTCAAGCCGATCAGAAGGTGAGCCAGAGAAGGATTCAGCTTATGGATCATGTGATTCAGATGACGTGGAACACTATCATAGCAGTCTCCATGAATATCATAGACGGAGATTATCTAGTGATCATGGAAAATTTAAGAACATTATATCAAGCTTGAGTGGACAGACTGAACCTTCTGGTCAGTTGGCTGTACTTACCGAGCTCTGTGAAGTTTTGTCGTTTTGTACAGAGGGTTCACTCTCCGGCATGACTTCAGACTTGTTATCACCACTACTTGTAAAGCTGGCGAAGCATGAAAGTAACCCGGATATAATGTTGTTTTCTATAAGGGCTATTACTTATATATGTGATTTGTATCCTCGGTCAGCTGGTTTTCTTGTTCGTCATGATGCTGTTTCTGCTTTATGTCAAAGATTACTGACGATCGAGTATCAAGATGTAGCTGAACAGGTAAGTGGTACTTCTTTGTTTGTAAGATATGTTTTTCTTGTATTGTTTTTTATAGGCCGAAAGGAATATAAGTTATTAATATTGTATGTATACAGTGTCTTCAAGCATTGGAGAAAATATCGCGAGAACAACCACTTGCTTGCTTACAGGCCGGAGCAATTATGGCTGTTTTAAATTATATTGATTTCTTCTCAACAAGCATACAGGTAAGCATGTAATACAAAGGCATCATCTTTCATTAGTATTGATGGTTTATCAGAGAAGTGAAAAATAGCTCTCATTTTACTAATCTCTCTTTTCCCTCAGAGAGTTGCTCTTTCTACTGTGGTGAACATATGCAAGAAGCTTCCTTCAGAAAGCCCCACACCTTTCATGGAGGCCGTGCCAATATTATGCAATCTTCTTCTATATGAGGATCGACAGGTGCCGATGAATAAACATTAGATATTATTTTGTATTTGTAGTGTGTTTAAATTCCTTCTTTGTACTGTTTACTGAAGTGAAAATGTACTTTCACAGCTTGTTGAAAACGTTGCTACCTGCTTAATCAAAATTGTTGATCGAGTTTCTCCTTCCTCAGAAATGTTGGATGAGCTTTGTAAGCATGGATTGATTCAACAGGTCACACATCTTTTAAGTATAAATGGCCGAGCGAGCCTATCCCAATTAATTTATAATGTAAGCAATTTTTTCTATGCTATTTTCATATCCTATATTTCTCCATTTTTATTATGCGTGAACTTTGATGTTATGAAATTATGAATCTATTATTTTGCTTGACAGGGATTGATAGGATTACTTGTCAAACTTTCATCGGGATCAGTCGTAGCCTTCAGGACTTTATATGAGCTAAATATAAGCAGCATATTGAGAGAGATATTATCTGCATTTGACCTTTCACATGGTGTATCAACGTCACAACTTATTGGTGGACACTGTAATCGGGTATGAGTCTTGGATTTGTCTCTGTTATTGTCTTCTACTGGTGTGCAGCTATAGTTTCATAAGTTTCCTGATTATAAAGTGGAGTATATTAGTATAGTCATTTAATTGTGACGAGTCACTGAGTCTAGTAATTGGCAAATGGCAATTTTTTCGTATTTTATATTTTAACTAGTTGTAATAATAATGCGAGCCCACAATTACGTGTTCATTTTTGAGAATTTAAGCCAATATTCCTACGTAGTCCCTAAAAGTATCCTTTTTCTTCGCATTCTTAGTAACTTGGTACAACAGTAAGTCTCTCGTCAAGACAGGGTCTAAGGACCTGATTCATTGTGAGTCTGTTGTAGGAAGTCTTACCTTACTTTTTTAAGAGTTTAATTTTACAACTCAAACATGTGACATCTTAGTCACGTGGCAGCAAAAAAAGTAATTTAGGGAAAAGAGAACACAATGTCAATAAGCTCTTGCAGCTTGATTGGCATGGATATCTGAGGTTTGATCCTTCACCCGGTTACCTAAACTTGCCGACCCATCTGCTTGCACCACTAGTCTGCCTTATACTTAAAAGCACAGCTGAATGTTCATCAAAGTCATTTGGAACAGTGTATTAAGTTGGGAAGTCTTAATGGTCCAACTTGACATTATTATAAGGAAATTGAGTGAAAAATGTATCTAGAAGGCTTCAAAGACTTGTTGAAATATAGTTCTTGCCGAATTGCTTTATTCTGTTTCAAATTTATTTTGAATGTTTTTAATTCATGACACGAACTACACAGTATATTTGATTATCAGCATTCCATAACTTCATCACACATTTTTAATTTTAATCGATTTGGTGGGTTGAATGATTCACTTTTATTACTGGCCAGTTTCATATGTGGACAGTTTTAATATATAAATTTCTGACGAGGTTTTTGTAATTTTGTGGAACGGTATAAATGTTCTATTAATTTGAAAATTCTTGTGGTACAAGTTATACTCTACCTGTGCAATAAAAGCGTTCGGGGTTAAAATGACTATTTTGGTAACAATTGTTGAGTTTTGATCTTAGTATTTATCTAGCAGTGCCAGTCTGAAACAAGGAAATGTTTTTCTTCTAATTAATTGGTTCTTGTTTGTGTGATTTGTGAGATTTCTTGTATTGTGGATTGTGAAAGGTTTTCTTGTTGTTTATGGACTTGCTAGGTATATGAAGTACTCAAATTGCTGAATGAACTTCTCCCTGGCCTGGATAAAGATCAGAGCAATCAACTAGCATTGGACAAAGAATCCTTCCTAGCTAATCATCCAGATCTCCTGCAGAAGCTTGGGATGGATGTGTTTCCCATGCTAATCCAGGTTAGTTGATTTTCTTATAGTTAACCCAATACTTTTCTGTTTTTATTACAATTAAATGTCTTTCTCATCTTTGCACAGGTGTTTAATTCTGGTGCAAGTTTATATGTTTGCCATGGATGCCTATTCATCATGTACAAGTTTGTTTGTTTGACCAAATCTGACATGCTTGTGGAGCTGCTTAGGAATGCCAGTATTTCAAGGTGAAGCAGGCCTTATCCTTTGAGTTGTGATATTATTTATCTTTTGTTAAAGGTATTGACTTTATCTTGTTGATGCAACAGTTTTTTGGCTGGAGTATTCACTCGGAAGGATCATCATATGCTATTGTTAGCCTTACAGATTGCTGAGATAATCCTTCAAAATTTTTCTGATATTTTCTTACAGTTATTTATAAAGGAGGGTGTCTTTTTTGCCATTGAGGCGCTCTTAAAACCAGAAAGATCATCACAATTTGTATACCCAGTATTTAGCGGCATTCAGATGTCGTTAGACTCTGGTCAAAGGTCTTCTTCTAAAGAGGTTCTCAAGTGCCTATGTTACACATTTTCATCTGCCCAATCTCCTACATCATCAGAAGCCAGAAAGTGCAAACTCGACAAAGACTCTGTTCATAATCTGGCAGAGCATATTAAAGCAAAATACCTAGCACCAGAATTATATGATTCTGAGAAAGGATTGACTGATATTTTGAAGAATCTCAGAGCACTGTCTAATGATTTGTTGAGCATGTCTACTGATGAAGGTGCTATTGCTGTGCATGAAGAGAAAATCAATAATGTACTAGATCAAATTATGGACAAGCTTATTGGCAAGGAAGAAGTTTCTACTTTTGAATTTATTGAGAGTGGAGTTGCAAAAGCACTTGTTAATTATTTATCTCTTGGCCATTATATGGGGGAAAACAAGAGGGTGCATGGTGTTTGTGGTCATAATGCTGTCATAGAAAAACGATTTGAGGCTTTTGCTAGTGTATGCTTACGTACTTTTCAGCCTCTATCCAGCGATACACCCCTTTCTGTATTAATCAGGAATCTGCTGTGTGCGCTGACTTCATTGGAAGCTTTCCCTATTGTTCTGAGCAATGTACAAAAAATGAGAAATTCATTTGCTACTGTTCCTAATGGATGCTGTATTCCTTATCCTTGTCTGAAAGTCCGGTTTGTCAAGGGGGAGAATGAAACTTACTTGAGTGAATGTTCTGAGGATTTTTTTACTGTCGACCCTTTTTCATCTTTGCACTCCATTGAAAGATATCTGTGGCAAAAGGTCAGCAAGAAAAATGAAGAGCATGAAAGCTTACCGTCCAGTCAAGTAGTGTTGCAACCAGGAAGTCCACCGCTTCAACTGCCATCAAATACAAGTTCCTGCCTTGATGAAATTCAAGCAGTCAATTTGAATGCTGGGGAGTCCTCTTCTGGAATTCAGGTTTTACCCTTGTTTCTAGTTTAGAATATAATGCAGAACATTCTTGCATGTTATCTGTGTCAAAGTACGTTTCTAGTAATGTCACACTTTTGCATATATTTGAAATTTTGTGTCTTATCTAACAGGTTGCGGAAGAAGAAATGCATTTTGTTGCAGAACCAGACTCAAAACTAGAAAAAGAGCATCTTTCATCTTGTAGCAACAAAGCTGCTCGCAAACTGATTTTTTACCTTGAAGGACAACCTCTAGATCATAAATTGACACTATATCAGACAATTCTTCGCCAAATAATAAAACAAAATGATAGTGGAATTGGTGCAAAACTATGGAGTCATGTGCATACGTTAACATATAAAACAGATTTGAAACCTGAGGATATAATGCCTTTGGATTGTCATTCTTCAGTTCAAGATTTCTCTCATGATAAAGCTTTAGCATTTTATCAGCATAAACCTTTTTTATCAGACATGTTCTATTGTGAACTTGTTTCTGATTTGGAGAAGTCAAATCCAACTTATGATATTCTTTTTCTTCTTAAAAGCTTGGAAGGCATGAACAGATTTATATTTCATCTTATGTCACGCGAAAGAATTTGTGCTTTTGCCGAAGGTAAAGTTGATAATCTGGATAGTCTAAAAATAACAGTTCCTACTGTCCAACTAAATGAGTTTGTGAGCAGTAAGTTGACAGAGAAGCTGGAGCAACAAATGAGGGACTCTTTGGCAGTCTGCATTGGCAGTATGCCTTTGTGGTGTAATCAGCTAATGACTTCTTGTCCTTTCCTATTCAGTTTTGAAGCAAGATGCAAATACTTCAAACTGGCAGCATTTGGTCAGCCACGACTACCATCTCACATATCTTACCATAACTCTGAAACTCTAAGCGACAGGCGACTGGGCCATGGTGTATTGCCTCGAAAGAAGTTCTTAGTTTACCGCGACCGAATCTTGGAGTCTGCTGCACAAATGATGAAACTACATGCCAGTCATAAAGTGGTTCTTGAAGTGGAATATGATGAAGAAGTGGGAACTGGTCTTGGACCAACTTTGGAATTTTATACCTTGGTGTGTCAGGAGTTGCAAAAGTCTGGTTCAGGCATGTGGAGAGAGGATGCTTCTTCACATACCCTCAAGACAAGTTTGCATGCTGAGGAAACAGGAATTTATTCTTTGTATGGACTATTTCCTCGCCCATGGTTGTCAACGCAAGATGCATCTGGTGGCATACAGTTCTCTGAAGTAACAAAGAAATTTGTCCTTTTAGGTCAAGTTGTAGCTAAAGCACTTCAAGATGGAAGGGTCTTAGATCTCCACTTTTCAAAAGCTTTCTATAAACTTATTCTTGGAAAGGTAATTGATTTTGTGTGCAATTAATGAACTTCACACAAGCTTGCAACGTGTAGTAAGATGTATAATGACATGGCCACTATAACTGACTTAGTCTCTTTATTTGCTTATAATCTTTCTTTTTAGGAACTTTATGTCTACGACATACAATCACTTGATCCTGAGCTTGGTAGGGTGCTGCATGAGTTTCAAGCTCTAGTTAACAGGAAAAAAAATTTGGAATCGGTCTATGGAGGGAATTCTGAGTTGGAACAAGGACTAAGCTTTCGAGATTCCAGAATTGAGGATCTTTGTCTTGATTTTACTCTTCCCGGGTATCCTGATATAGTTCTTGCTTCAGGGTCTGATCACACCATGGTAAAATACTGCTTGATATTTTGCATTGCAATTTTTTGTTGTTTTAACCCTTATGTTGCTAGAATATAAAACTTCAATTCTTCCATCCTTTTGGCAGGTAAATATGAGAAACCTGGAGGGTTATGTTTCACTTATTGTGGATGCAACCGTGAAGTCTGGAATTTCAAGACAAGTGGAAGCTTTTAAATCCGGCTTTAACCAGGTCTCTTACTTTGTCTTGATAATATTAGAAATATTTTAACACAAGAACCTTTTCGATTGTGTTATATTCATGTCACTATAGAAGTTGGATAGAATTGCATCTAAAGAGAACAGAAAATCGCAAAGCGTTGGGGTTTACAGACTGCTGTCCCATAAAAGTTGTCATAGTAGGTTATTTCACACACATTAAGGAGAAGTTATATATTAATGAAAGTGAAGAACAATTTTACTAAATTAATCTCAGTAACTATTGGTTGATTCTTGTTATCATAAATACAAAGTAAAGAACAATTGCTTGGGAGTTATGCACATAGTGTTAATTAGAGGCTATAAATGGAAAAAATGAATAATGTTAAATTGAAAATGGCAATTGTTTTGGGACAGTTGTTTTTCCAAAAGTCACTATTATTATGAGACAGAGGGAGTACATGACAAACAAAATGAATATGGGCTTGAAGCTAACTCCTATATATAAGAAACTATGTATAAGAAACAGTTTTGTCCATTTGAATAATTTGACTTAATAGAAGGCTAATCCACAAACCCTTGTCATCTTTTACTGCAATCTGTTATCTGCCGTTGTTTAGAGTTCCTTCATTTTGTGGTCTTGTTTAGAATTTGAGGTCTATGAGCCAGCTGTTTTGGTGTTCAGAACTAAGACCATTACTGGCTTTATATTTTTTGCCGATGTTCCTAAAGTCATGCACATAGTTGCTAAAGTTTATTGCTCATCTTTGTGTCTGATATTGGCATCGACCACTTTCCCAGTACTTCATTTTGTGCCCTTATTTTCATTAAGCTTTTAAATAAATGCTAAAATAGATTGTCATAGGAACTGGGCTTCTGTACCTCGGGGAAAATGGGAGAGAGAGAGAGAGAGAAGGGGTACTTGTGTATAGTATGATAGAGAAGTTTTCTGCACCGGAATGCTTCAATGCAAAACTTGTTTAATAATGTTTTCTTTCGCCTTTACTTTTTGAAGGACTGCCCGTTAATTTTTTATCTATCTTCATGGGGATTCATTTTTATTTTTTAAACTTGTAGGTTTTTCCCATTGAGCATCTTCAGATTTTCTATGAAGAAGAGCTTGACCGTATACTCTGTGGAGAGGATGATTCTTGGGCTGTATGTGTAACTTAAATAAATTTGTGTATATGTCTTTTTCTATTAGAGCAGAACAGAAACAACTTTTTGTTTGAAAAAAAGGTTTAATTATACTAATACCATGTTAGCAGATCAATGAGCTGTCGGATCATATTAAGTTCGATCATGGTTACACTGCTAGCAGTCCTCCCATTGTTAATGTAAGCATACTTGTAACTTTTGATCTTGTTCTGAATCACTTTATTTTCTGACTGAATCTCTGTCATTGACGTCTCAGTTGTTGGAAATTATTCGAGAGTTTGACCATGGCCAGCGACGAGCATTTCTCCAGTTTGTGACCGGTACACCCCGGCTTCCTCCAGGAGGATTGGCATCTCTCAATCCAAAGTTGACTATTGTCCGAAAGGTGTACAGATTATATTGATAAACTCATTTTTCACCACGATTTTTACGCTTAAATGTCTTTTTTCTCTGTAACATCTTATATTTTCGTGTTCAACAGCATTGTAGCAACCAAGCAGACACAGACCTTCCTAGTGTGATGACTTGTGCAAATTACCTTAAGCTACCTCCTTATTCGTCAAAAGTACCTTATCAGTTTTCTTTGTTTTAAACTTTTAAACACTTGAAACAACTAATAGAAAAAAGATCTAAATATTTTCTGATGTTCATTGTATTTCAGGAAAAGATGAAAGAGAAGCTCTTGTATGCCATTACAGAGGGTCAAGGATCTTTCCACCTTTCATGACTTCATTCTCTTGACTGGATTATTGGATTTTGAAGATGTAATTATTAGGGTAATTGATAGTAATGTAGATAAGGCTGTTTAACTAGTTGCTGGCAATGATCTCATTCAGTTACTGGAAGTGTTGGTCACATCAAGTTTACTTACTTGGGGACAAAGCCTATGTCTTCACTGACTACAATTGTTGGGGGGGTGTATATAGCTTGCCGATAGTTAGCTGTTTCTTTTTTGGGTTGTGTCCTCTGTATAGAAACAGAGGGCAATTTAAGTGATTATACTTTAATATTTTTTGTACAGTATTTTGTATTGGGATATCTTCTGTTACTTTATTATATCATATTTTCCATGAAATTTCGCTCTACTTTGTTATTGATTTATTTATGCATTGTTACTATGCAAGCAATGTTTTATACTTCCTCAGCAAAGACATATGATTGCAGAGGCAAATATTCAAACTCGTGAGATTTTATTTATTCACTTGTAAGGAGTGATATTTCTGCTATTAAAGTATTAGACAAAAAATTGTTCTAAAACTTCAAAAAAATAATGATGCATTCTAAAACTTTTGGTGGAGTGGCGGAGTTGAGAGACTTCTTCAAATTCTTTTAAGAACATGAATTTCCAAAAATGTTAGGGAAAACGTTTGTGGCAAATTATAGGGATGAGTACCATTGTAGAAATATAAGTTTAAAATTTTCAAAACTAAAATCATCTTGTCCTGACTTTGGAAGTATTTTATTAGACGATTCTACGACTTTTTTTTTTTTTATAAGCAACCATTATATTAAAAGGAGTATAAGGAGTATTTAACCTCTTTTAATACAAAAGAGAAAAATAAAATTAAGCCGAAAAACCCAAAATAAAGGAAGAGAAATAGAGAAAAACAACCCCCAAACTATAAAGCATCAAAAACAATCACTAATATTCAACTTTCAATTATGTCATTTGAATTTTTTAGAACCTCGATAAAACATTTGAAATCACTCTCACAACTGTTTTTCAATTTTGAGAAATATGTTTCAGTTAGGGGTTTCAGTTAGGGGTATTTGCAGGTTGAATTGAGTATATTTTGATTAAATTCAATACCTGACTCGATCAGTAGTCTTTGGGTTGGGTTGAATGTTCAATGTGTACTTATAAAATTAAATTTGAACCAAACCAATCTGCTCATAATGAGTTGGGTTGGGTTGGATTCGTGGACCATCCATCAAATATAATTTTTAAATTCTAAATAAAATATCAATTTTATTAACACATTTATTTTACAAAAACATTATAAAGTTATAAAATTTTAGTATTTAATTTGAGTAAAATTTATCGGTTAATACCTAAAAACTCTTTTAGGATTCAGATAAAGTTAGAAAAATATATAAATGGTGTAAAGTATAATTTAGAAGGTAAGATATCTCTCTCTTTAAATAAATAAAGTTGGCCTCTCAAATTTGATTTAGACTTAGACTTTTACAATTAATAATATATATATATATATATATATATATATATATATATATATATATATATATATATATATATATATATATATATATATATATATATATATATATATATATATATATATATATATATATATATATATATATATATATATATATATATATATATATATATATATATATATATATATATATATATATATATATATATATATATATATATATATATATATATATATATATATATATATATATATATATATATATATATATATATATATATATATATATATATATATATATATATATATATATATATATATATATATATATATATATATATATATATATATATATATATATATATATATATATATATATATATATATATATATATATATATATATATATATATATATATATATATATATATATATATATATATATATATATATATATATATATATATATATATATATATATATATATAAATAAAGCAAATCTTGCGGTGAAGGACGCTTGTAATAATACTTTTCTATAGGTCTTGGAGAATAAACAGGGTTTATACTAGTAGTATTATTAATACTATTAGTATTATTAATATCAAGGTTACTAATGTCTAAATTAACAAACATATCAAAAAACTGGTCAATATGGTTATCATTATTATCCTCAGAATAATCTTCATGGGACATGACAGTGATATTAAGTCCTTTTAATTTTTGTTATATATATATATATATATATATATATATATATATATATATATATATATATATATATATATATATATATATATATATATATATATATATATATATATATATATATATATATATATATATATATATATATATATATATATATATATATATATATATATCGTAAGAATTATGTTAGATAATGTATAAATAAAATAAAATAAAAATGATGTGACATATCAATGAGTTGAGTTCGCGGATTCGTGAATTTAAAACATCAAACCTGTTACCTGAACCAAATATCAATGGGTTTGAATGGGTTGGACTCGTATATGATTGGGTTGGGTAAAAATAAGGGTCGAGTTAAGTTGAGTGAGTGGGTTCGCGGGTTGACCCGTACCTATGAACACCCCTAGTCCTAGTCCTCCACCACGCCTCCTTAAAAAATCATGTTATTTCTACAAATCCAAATGTTCCAACAAACACAAGACCAGAAAAACCAAGAAGATTCACTTGAAAATTAGATTTGGAGTAGTCACAAAAGAGATCAAAATAATTTTGGATTTAATTCGTCTCCGCTATGGCTCTAATTCCGGTCCACCTAAACACTTTAGACAACACATCTAATTCAACCTTACAATTTAATAAGAGATGCGAATAATCTTCAATACAAGAATCACAAAAAGCACAATTCAAATTATGGTTGCTCGACAACACTCCCTGAGCAAATAATTGACTTCTAGTTGATAAATAATTCTGCATCGATCTCCAACAAAAAACCTGCAAGTTGCTTGAAATTTTTGATTTCCAAACTTAGTCCCGATTATGAAGCATTGCAGAGTCCAAGTTGCTATTAATGCCATATTTGAATAAAGAGAATAACATCGAGTAACTGTTGTGAACACTGAAGTCATGCTTATTCTTCCACTAAATGAACCCATCCACACTGTCTATCGACGACAAAAAGTATGTCGTTAGAACTGCTACCGCCGAAAATTTCTTGGCAGCCAATAAATTATTCAAATAAACCACTCTACCAAAATTCAAGCACTAAAATCCTTGAAGCCAATCTCCCACATCCACTACTTTTGCTGAATGATTAACGCAATTCTCGAAAACTTGCTGAAAAAGACTGCAAAAAGGAAGAGTTCCTACCCAAATGGGGGTCCAAAAACCCAAATCCTTTCCATTACCATGTTTGCATCGAATAAATTTTGAAAACCAGTTACCGTTACGTTGATTGTCGAAGAAAATTGAGAGTAAATCCTTCCACCAAATTGAATCTTTCTTACCCATTGGGGGAAGACAATGATTGAGAATCTTCCCTTTTATGGCACCATATCTAAAACTCAAAAAAATCAAACCAAACCAAATTTGGGCCATCAATGATCCTCCACAGCCATTTGCTAAGTAAAGCACGATTAAAAATCCCACATTGTTTAATACTAAGACCCTATTCACTTTGCTTCTACTATTTTTGACCAACTAATCTAACACATTTTCTTCTGACCTTCAACACCTCCTTAAAGAAACTCTCTTTAATTATGATTATTTCTTTGATGATGCTCTTAAAAACTTTGAAGAACAAAAACTGATAAATAGGAAGGTTTACCAAAATCGAAATGAGCAAAACGATTCTATCTCCTAATGAAATGAACTTCCCTTTTCCGCATTGAGAGCCTCTTATAAAGCTTGACTAATAAAGGACTCCAATAGTTAAGCCTTCTGGGAATGAACCCCACAACCACTCCAAGAAAATTGAACAGTAAAGAACCCGTCTCACAAGCCACAAAATTTATCTTTGCATGAAGATAGTCATCTTTTAAATTGATTCCAAAAATTATTGTTTTTAAGAAATTCACACTAAGGCCGGAAATAACTTCAAATTCTATGAGAATTCCTTTGATACTCCAAAGATTTTTGAAAAGACCATTGCAAAGCATAATGGTATTGTCAGCGAAACGAAGAATACCGAATTGAATAATGTCTTTCAATGAAAAACCTTTGTAATCACCTGGAAGCATTGCTTTTCTCATCATACCTGTAAGACTTTCTACTCCCAAAATAAATAAGAAGGGTGAAGAGGATCACCCTGTCTCATCCCCCGACTTAATTGAAACTCTGAAGTGGGACAACCATTGACAAGAATAGACAAATAGTTTATGAAAACTACGGTCTCCATCTAATTCATCCATTTTTTAACCAAAGTTCATAGTCTTCAACATATGCCTTAAGTAATTCCAAGATAAACAATCATAAGCTTGTTTGAAATCAATCTTAACCACTAAGAAATCCTTTTTGAATCTCTTGGCATAATCCATAATCTCATTGACCATCAACACTCTGTCTTAAATATACCTTATAGAGACTTCCTATCAAACAAATAGGTCTGTAATTCTTAAGGATTTGAGGATTGAATGCTTGGGAATCAAAGCGAGAAAAAAAGAAGTAACAACTTTGGGGAGAGTAGCCTTCAAATGGAAATGATTGATGAATGTCATGACATCCGCTTTAATAATCTCCCAACAACATTTGAAAAACTAAAACCAAATCCGTCCGGACCAGGGCTAGCATCAAGGTACGAATTCCAAATGAACTCCTTTACATCATCTTCACTAAAAGGATCTTCAAGCAATAGCCTTTCCTCCTCACTTAATTTCTTAAAATCTGTTCCTTTAAGTAATTGCCTCATAAGAATCGGTTTAGTGTAAACAAAGTCAAAATGATGATGAATTTCCTTTCTGATCTCATCCACACTCTCCTTCCAACCTGAATCCCTTTGCAGCAGCGAAATGTTATTATTTCTAAATCTCTGCTTCATACTGTGAGTGCAACCTTCCATTAGATG